GGCACTTGCGGGCACGGGAGAGAAGGGAGCACGACCCCCCGGGAGACCGGAGAGTGCTTTGGAAGAGCCGCCCCTCCGCCGCCCCCTGTTAGAGCGACTGGTAGCCGTCTTCTGGGAGGCCCGGCTGTGGAACTGGAGTCCTGCTTCCTTGTAAAACGTGGCGCGTGGTTTGGGGGCTGGAAGGTGAACTCCGGTCTCCCCACGGGCGTGGGCCGTCTGGGAGCCAGGCCGAGGGACGGGCCCGCTGGGCTGCCGCCTCAGAGCCGGGTGGGCGTCCGTGCCCTGGCGCTCCTGCCACGAGGGTGACGCCTGCGCTGTCCGCCGGCCTGTCCACTCCTGTAGTGCCAGCGGGCTCCTGCCCGGAGCGAGCTCTGCCCTCCTGGGGGCCGTGTTTCCCCAGTGTCGCTTGGCGTGGGGACCCGATAGGAACGCGGGTAGGTCTCATCAGACCCAATGGCTCTGACGAGTTGTAGCGCCATGAGGGCCCAGGCTACCCCACGCAGAGACCCCAGAGACACTTCTGTGTCCCCACGTCTCCCAGGCTTCTGACCCCAGTAGCAGTGACCGTCCCCACGTCTCCCAGGCTTCTGACCCCAGTAGCAGTGACCAGAGTGACTCTGGCGGCCGGGCAGGCCTGGCCTCCCTCCCGTGGTCCCTGCGGTCCAGCCCCTGCAGGTGGCCCGAGCCTCCCACCTGCTGGAGCTGCTGCTCCGGCCTCCTGCGGGGTGGGTGTCTCTCCTCCCTGGCCGGGGTTTCTGTTAGCTCAGCGCTGAGCGGCATGCCGCTCCCACCAGCAACCTCCTCTGACCTCGGGCCGCTCTCCCGGTGCTTGGTGTGGGGACGGAGTCCTCGGAGCAGAGCTGGTTTGTCAAGACAAAAACCTGTATTGAGGACGTTCTCCTGGGCCGGACATGCTGTGGGGTTCCGAGGGGCGAGTAGGAGTCCGCCAGGCAGAGAGTGAGGGGCAGAGCATTACGGAAAGGGAAAAGACATGTGCAAAGACTGAGGACAGGGCCACGTGCTTTTTCCATGCAGGGCTGGAGGGTAAATAGAGTCAGCTTTGTGGGCCAGAGGTACCTGTGCAGCTGCTCGACTCTGCCCTTGTCTCCCAAAAGCAGCCCCAGGTGACATGGAAACAAAAGGGTGTGGCTGGCGCCAGCGCAATTTTCTTTGCAAGAACAGCTGGAGAGAGACGGCTGGGCAGGCCCCTGAGGGCAGCGGGAGCCCCGGGGAGTGGAGCGACAGGGACTTGGCTTTTCAGGAAGAGGCTTGGCCGCGGGGACCGACCCCGTCGTGTGGGTCCGGGGGGACTTGTTCCCTCCTTCCCCGGTGCGGGTCTCGTGAGATGACTTTGCGTGAGTGGTGCGTGGACAGACAGAACGCACTTCACTAGTGATGTGCTTTTTTATTAATTAGGACAAATGGCGTGGGTCTGTCATTCAGGGTCATGGTAGAGACTTTCTTATAAATAAATCAGGATAAAAGGGGGGCTCAGTGAAAACGCAGCAAAGAAAATTACGGGACGTGAAAAGGAATGTCCCAAATCTCTCGAGCAGGACCCAGGAGCCGGGTTTGAGGGAGTCCGCTCCATTCCTCGTGAGTGCAGCGGCTTCTCAGGGGTCAGTGACATCTGTCACGACGCTGGTGGTGACAAGAGCGGGCACGGCTGGCCGCTGGCGAGCAGGGTGTCTCGGACTGCTCGTCTAAGTGCCGCACTCGCGTGAGCGTGTTTAACCCTGGAAACAGCCCCGGGTCGGCACACCGGGGACGAGACGGAGGCACCCAGGGTACCTGTGTCCAGGTCACAGCCAGGGAATAAAGGACAGCACCTTCGACGTCAGCTGACTTGGGTCTGCACTCCTTACGGAGCTGCGTGACCACGGGCAAGTGACTTAACCGCTCTGAGCCTATTTAATCAGATATAAAATGAGGACAATAGTCATGCAGACCTCTCAGGTTTGCTGAAATTAAGTGCCCCGAGAAAACACTTAGCTCAGTCCTGACATATGCTGAGTCCGGGGAGTTCACCGCACCATCGTATCGTCATTGCCGTTGTCACTGTCAGACACGCCCCTTGGAGGGTGACCCGCTAATTCACAGCATTTGCCTGCAGATGCTCCCTGACAGTCGTGCCTCTGGTAGCACGTGTGTTTTGGGGTGTGGGGCCACCTGCAGGTTGCTGTTGAGCTGGGACAACCCCAAGTTCTGGTCCAGCCTGCAGGTCCGAGGCCCTGCGCCAGGAACGCTCACCACTGGGCTCCAGGCCCACGTGCGGAGGCTTGAAGTTAAGCAAACCCCCTTCAAGGAGGGAGCGGATTGTAATTAAACACAGGGGCATTCAACGCATTGCTTAAAAAATTGCAAGCCAACGTTTAGAAATCGGAAGCTTTCACAAAAATCTAGATGTGCAGCTTCTTCTCAACAATCAAAGTTCAGGTCCCCCCGGCCCCTGTTCCCACCCAGCCACTGCCGCCAGAGCTGAGCGGGGGCTGTCCCTGCAGGTGGGCCTGGCCTTGGGGGGGTGAGTTTGCAGCTCCTTCCGTGAGGTTAAGCGCCTGGTCTTTGGAGCCAGCCCTTGTGTTGCTACATTTTGGTCTTCTACTCCGGGCCTCAATATTACGGCATGGAATAGTCATTACGTGGTGAGCAGCTAAAGCTCAGGCCACCGTGTGGCGTTGAGGTCCTAGGTCTGCAGTTTCTGCCGCAGAGCTCAGAGAAGACCAGCTGCTTGTCCGATGCTGTTTTCTGTTCTCTTCCCCACGCACGTCCTGCACCTCCCCACCCAGGGGAGCCGCCCGCATGTGGGCCCAGTCCCTCTGTGTCGTGGATGATTTCATAACAGACAGATGTCATCTAACAGAGCAAAGCATGTTCTCCAGAGGCCAGTGCGTCTCGTGAGTGCTCTGTCCTGGACCCGGCTGCTCTCCTGGGCCTGGGGCAAGGTCATGGAGACCTGGGGGGGAGGGAGGGGCTGGAACGTGACGCCCTGTGGGTGGTCTACACCTGGGGCAGCCCCCAGGGCTCTGCAGCGGTGCTCACCGCTGTCCTGCACGTCAGCTGCCGTCTCTTACGAAGCAAACCTCCCGTGTGCTTTGCAGGGGGAGGGGGGGTGATTAGAGAGCAAAAGGGGATAGCATGCATGGTCCCTGGTGTCCGGGTGCAGCCCTCCTCGGCCCGGTGGCAACATCCTGACCTCGGCTGCTGCTTCACCTGCCCCAGACTATTATTTATTTGTGTGTGTGTGTGTGGGGGGGGGTCTGATACATTCGAATGTTGCAACTGTCTCAGGAAGAGAGCTGGGAGTGACTTTGGCCATGATCTTCCCTGACCCTTTGGTTTGGTGATGAGGGTTGACTTCGGGCTCTTGTGTTTGGGGTGATTCAGTTTCTCCTCGCTCCATCCCGTGGATGGGCTACGCTAGCAGCCGAGCATTCCCTGCTAAGTCCAGACCAGCGTTTTAACATTAGTGGAGCAGGGTCGTGTTTAGTGTTTCCGTTTGGGGGCAAAAGCTGAGCTTTGGCATTCCCACGAGTGCATCGATTAACGAGAAGAGTGGCCTGTGGGGAGCACGTGCCACGTGCGCTGTATTGTCTCATAACAGCCGCAGCTTTTTAGACAAGGGAACAGAGACCCAGAGAGGGTAAGTCGCTTTCCCAAAGACTCACAGCATGTAAGTGGCAGAATTGGCATCTAATCTTAACTGTGACACTTCACAGCCTAAACTCTAGAGCCAAGTAGGAGATAAATCTTTGTTCTGTGTCTGGAATGTTCTGGAATGTGAGTTGCCTCTGAAGTCTGGTCCTCTGGCTTTGGAATTGATCCCCTTTCTCTGTGGACCCCTGACCGTTCCTCTGAGCTCCAGCCTCACCTGTTGTCAGCTTCCTTGACACCTCGGTCTGGAGCCCAACAGGCCTCATAAAACACTTCCAGACCCGGCTCTGTCCCCACCACAAACCTCCCCAGTCCCCCTCTCTCTCAGTCGTCCACCTGCCCATCCACCTGCAGGCTACAGGTGAGATGCCAGCCGCTGCCTGTGGTGTGTGGCCATCAGGCACTGCTTGAGGGGCTGGCACGTGAGCCGGGAGACCACACTGAGCCGTCCCCTCCCTGCGCCCAGCCGATACCACCTGCGCTTGTGCTCAGGGGCCACCTGTGGCTAGTGGCTACCCGTATGGGCAGGGAGGAAGCCTTTCTGCATCTCAGAAAACTCTACTGGGCAGCACTGCGGGTCAGAGGTGAGAGGTGGCCACCTGTCTGCTTTGGTGCAAAACCAGGAGAGATTTTGTGGTTTGGATTGGCCAGTCCTTCCGGAGTTTTCTATACCAACAGAGAACGTAATAGCGACAAAAGACCACGTGGTCTGAGCTGAAAATATTTCCCGCTGGCCCTCTTTAGGAAACGTGTGCCGACCCTGGTCTGGGCACGGGTTGGGGCCGGGCGGGAGCCGGGAAGGTCGGGGGAAGGTTCTGGCTGCTCACACTGGGGGCAGTGGCTGCTCCTGAGAAATACTGTGCAGGAAGAGCGCACAGGACTCGCCCGTGAGCCAGCCCGGCTGGACAGCCCTGAGCCCAGGAAAGGCAGGGATCTGCCCGGCTCTGTGCCACGCCCACGGCTTCTAGAAGGACGCCTGGATCCCACGGCTGTGTGGTGACACGAGATGGATGGGCAGGTGGGCGGTTGAGAGAGAAGGGGGACTGGGGAGGGTTGTGGTGGGGACAGAGCTATGAGGCCTGCTTGGCCTCCAGACAGAGGCGTCAAAGTGGCCGACAGCTCGTGAGCCTGGAGCCCAGAGGACCGGTCAGGGGTCCACGGAGACGCGGGATCGATTCTAAAGCCAGAGGACCAGATGGCATCGGCCACCCAGGGGGTTCGACGGGAAAGAGGACCCAGGCCCGAGCCCTGGGGCGGCCCAGGTGGAGGAGTGGTCAGGTGCAGGAGGCGGAGGCGGGGCTTGCAGCGAGCTGAGCAGGTGCCACAGGAGGGGACCGGAGGAGCGAGGCGAGGTGTGGGGAAGCTGAGCAGGACAGGGCCCCAGAGAGAGTGCATGGCTGGACGGGCGGCCGAGGCTCAGGGAGGGTTGAGGCCTCACTCTGAGGGATGCAGAAGAGAAACCAGGCGGTGGGGAGTGGAGATGCCACTGCAGAGACATTTCCTGATCAGTGTATTTTTCCAGTGAGCAGAGAGTGGCAGCGTAGCTGGGGGACACACAGGTTAGGAGCAACCGGTTTTCGGATGGTGCGTTTGGGATCTTGCTGGGATCGGGACGAGGTGGGGAAATCAGGGCCGGGGCCGAGGGGCACAGGCTGTGGGTCGCTCACGGGGCTGTGGCATGATGCCACACTGATGGAATTGCTCGTGAATCTGGCGTGGTCCGAGTGCATCTGCTGCTGCCGGGCCAGGCGTGGGCACCCCGGCTTCCCTCAGTGTCGTCTCCAGCAAGCCCTGGAGCTGGGTTCCACTGCTGCGCGTCCCGGTGCCCGTCCCCGGGAGGAGATGAGTCCGGGGAGCTCCGAGCAAACCTTCCCCAACCTGGTAGCGGACAGGGCCAGGCGTCTCATACAGACATTTGTGCAGACAAGGAAACTGAGGCTCAGAGAGGTGGGGACGCAGGTGCCTGGTCTGGAAGTGGGTCAGACACGGGCGCTGGAGACGGGCGTGGCTGAGGCGAGGAGAGCCGTTGTTCCCGTGACCTCTCTCCCCCCCAGAACCGCAGTTGGGGAGCATGCGGGTGCCGGCACCCTGGGAGTGCGACCCACCCCCGCGGAAGCAGTCGGGGACGAGAGGTCACTGAGGCCAAACAGCCAAAACAGGAGGCGGACGCTCGGATCGCTCTCCAGGCCCGCGGAGTAGCGGAGTATCTGCGGGTGCTCCGATGGAATGACAGAGACGGGAGCTCTGAATGGAGTTGGGGGTGGTGGGGGGCCCTCCGAGGAGGAAGCTGAGCCCGGGAGGGGGGCTGAGAGCGCACCCCGGGGCCGGTGGTCCTGCCCGAGCGTGGCTGCCGGGGCTCTGGGGCGCGGGGTCCCCAGGCTCGGGGCGCCCAGTGCCCCGTGAGACGGGAAACCCAGGACGGGCTGCACGGGGGAATCGGGCGTGTCCGTGCTCACCTGTGCTTAGCACGGAATCCTCCAGGCCCTTTTACCTGGAAAACACAAAATGTTTAGTAGTATCAGGCGACTAATCAGAATTGTAGACTCTTAGACGTTACGGGTCACAGCTCAGAGGAGATAATGATAGTCTCAGAGTCTAGGATTCTGAAAAAGAAAAACCTTTAATGAGTAACATTTTTGAGGAGAGTTTAATGATAAGAAAATAAAAATCATAGCATTTTCACGTGAGAATCCTTGCAGGACACAAGCACACGGAGCCGACCGTGGGGTGGTGCTCAGCTCGGGCCACTCGGGATCCGGGCCGCGTGTGCCTTGTGCAGGGGGGCCGTGCAGGGGGGCCGTTCTGGGTGGGGCCGTGCTGGGGGGCTGTTCTGGGGGGGGCCGTGCAGGGTGAGGCTGTGCTGGGGGGGCCATGCTGGGAGGGGCTGTTCTGGGGGATGGGGCATTTGCTTTCTGAGGTTTCCTTCATCTGCAGTGAGGAGGGCCAGCCCTTCTGAGTACAGACTCGCCTCCTGTGAACTTGGCACAAGAAAGGGCTGGGCCTGAGAGTTTAGAATTTCCAGCAGGGACAACTAAGGAAAAAAACTAATGATGGAATGTGGGATACATGGACATGCAGTATTTGCATTAGTTGTCCCCGGAGAACGCTAGGGGAGGGGTCCAAAGGAAGCCAGGCAGGGGGCTTGAGGGGTGTTGGTGAGACTTTTGTGGAATGACAGAGGCTGGGCACAGGGAAGAAGGACTGGAGCGGTCGATGGATGGGAGGACACGGGGGTGAGTGAGGGAGGAGGAGAGCCTGGACATTGACTGCAGAGAGGGAAGGGAGCGGCTCGGCACCTGCTTCCTCTGAGTCATCTCACCTGCCCCTCATGCTGGGGCCTGGCTGCGGGGCGGGGCTAGCTGAAAAGCAGAGCGTAGGAACGGGACTGCAGACGTGGGCGCAGGGCGTGCCGGGGGCAGCTCTCACTGCCTCTTGTCAGACCGCCCGCAATAGACCCTGTGAAATGCAGCTGGTAACCATGAAAGCCGTATGGAGTAAGTGAGAGCCAGGGGGACATTCAGCAACTTGAACAGGCCCGGAGGTAGTAGCGGAGATAACTGAGCTTGGATGCTGGTCTGACTTCAAATCTGGCACGGGACCACTGCTGCCAGGTGGGGCGGGAGCCTGGGGACACACCTGTCATGTGGAAAAGGAGCGAAGCCACTCTTGCTCGGAATATGCACTCCCCTGCTGCCCTGCGCCAAGGCCCTCTTGGGTACGCTGCAACTTGCAAGAAGTCGAGTCCGTGTGGGAGGTGCCCGCTCCTCCTCTTGTGCCCAGGGTCAGCCCCCCGCCATCGCCCCTCACGCTTTGCTCACTCACCCCCACCGCGGTCAGAGGAGACAGTGTTTTGTGCATACGTCTGCTTTGCCTTTGCGACAGCCAAGATGCCCTCGGCGTCCAGCGGGGAGGAAGCGGATGTCGGCAGCCTTCTGCCCGCCACAGATGAGCTCTCCCAAGCCTTAGCGGGTCTGCTCCCTGGAACAGTCCTCATCAGACTCTGAGAGATCGTGGGCAGCTGCCAGCCCCCACCCTGCTGCCCACCCCGCCGCCCAAGGCCGGTGCCAAAACCGCAAAGAATGTCCAGGTGGCCATGTGTCCCATCATCTCTTCCCCCATCATCATCTCATCCAACTGTTCATCGTCATCCATCTGTCCTGTCACAACCATCACACATCCATGCACTCCATCCATCGAATCTACTCTGTTCATCCATCCCATCTGTCTGTCACCACCCATCACACCACGCACCATCCATCCACTTCACCCCCACCACCCACTCACCATCATCCATCTACCTCCCCCCACCACTCACATCATCCATCCACCACCCACCTCACCCACCCTATACCCATCTCACCACTCACCTTCACCCACCCTATCCGACCCCACCCCATCCACCACGTCACCATCATCCCACCACCCATTCGACCATCCACCCACCTATCACCCACTCCATCCCCACCGTCACCATCCATCCACCCACCCGACCCATTCACCATCACGCACCCATCCATCCCACACCATCCCATCCATCCACCCACCCATCATCCATCCACCCTCCCACCACCCAGTCCCACCCATCATCACCCTCCCACCCACCCATCCCCATGCATCCCCCACATTCTACGGCACCTACCCATCCCCCCTACTCCACCATGCCACCTCACCACCATCCCCATCACCATCCCCCTATCACCATCCACCACCCACAAAAATCACCCTAACACAATACCACACCACCCACCCAATATCACCTACCACCACCTGCATACCACCACCATCCACATGCCATCCCTACCCCAGAACCATCCCACCCCATGGCCATCCTCCAGACCATCACCATACCACCACACATCCCACCCATGAACACCATCACGCCATCATCTACACACCTCCCTCCATCTCACCATTCATGACCACGCTACCCCATGCACCCCCACACCACACAGCACCCACCATCCCCATACATCCCCACCCCCCAGCGCATCACACCACCCATCATCATCTCCACCACCACCCATCTCCAAACATCACCACACACCACTCACACCCATCCTCTCCCACCCATCCATCCTACCGCACACAGAAAACACGCCCCGCCACATGAGCCAATCCCACAACAATACATCAATACACAATCCATCCATCATCCATCCATAACCAAACCCATCAGCCTGGGCATGCTTGGGCACCTCTATGGGCTGGTGCCCACCCGCTGCTTCTGAGACGGTGGCTGGGGCAGGCCCAGGCAATAGTCCTCAGCAAGGCGCTTGGTTGTCAGGAGCAGACTGCTCAGCCTGCCTCAGGCAAGCAGGGCGGTCTCTCTGCAGGAGTCACAGGCAGCGTCTTCCAGAGCCTGAACGCAAGAGACACAGCCCCAGGATGGGGCCTTTCTCTCCCTCTGTCTGGGTGTTCACGTGTCTGTCTGTCCTCTTTCTGCTTCTCTCTGAGTCCGTCTCCTGCCCCCGTGCTCGCCAGTCCTTCCTCCCGCCGCTGCTCTCTGCTGCTGACTCGCTCCCCAGCGAGCTCTGTCCAGCCAGGCGGAGCCTGGGGTCGGGGTCGACCCCAGGGGGCGGGGGCGGGGGCAGGGAGCACCGCCGAGCACGGACCCCCAGAGTCGCGCTTCTGTAGTTTGGTCTCACTGGCCGAGTGATCCCAGGAAGAAGAGAGATTTCATTTTCGAGCGTGGGTGCTGCTTGTCCCGCTACTGCTGGAAACGTCCTCACTCCCTGCTCCACGTGGCAGCCCGGCCTCAGCCCGCCGATCCTCCCTCAGGGAGCCCGCCCTGCCCTCCCGCCCCACGGCACCACGCGCCGCCTCTTCCCGGCAGTCGCCGTGTCGTTTCTCCTTGTGCAGTGGCTGGATTAGCGTCCGCCCAGGTTCATGGCCACCTGGAACTGCAGAATGTGGCTTTATCCGGAATAAGGGTCTTTTTAGATTTCACGAAGTTAAAGATGGAGATGAGCTCGTGCTGGGTTAGAGTGGGCCCTGAATCCAGTGAGAACGACGCTGTGAGAGCCACAGAAGGACACAGAGGCAGGGATTGGAGTGACGCAGCCACGGGGCCAGGCACACCAGGGACCGCCTGGCAGCCAGCAGAGGCTGGGACAGGCCGGGGACGGGTTCTGCCCCAGAGGGAACCGACCCTGCCCACGTCTTGGCTTCGACTTTGGCCTTCAGAACCGGGACAGTTCTGTTGTTTTAAGCTGCCCAGTTTGTGGTCATTTGTTACAGCAGCCCAAGGAACCGCATACACCGTGTCTGTAGGATTATTCGTCTACCCCTGCGCCCGTATGGTAGCCCCATGACAGCCAGCCACATTGTGTTCACCACCAAATCCAAGTGCAGGCATGGTATCCAGCACACGGCAGGCAGGTGCGAGAGACTGTGTGATGGAATGAATGCATGAATGAATGAATGAATGAACGAACGAACGAACGAACGTTCTGAACCCTCTATCTGCATCTTTCTGCATCTCTGGATATGAGTCAAGATATTCAGCTTTTGGGTGGCATGAATGATCACACAGAGTAAAAGTTTTGAGGCAGAGCTATACTATTTTGCATTTCGTTACTATCATTGTGATAATTCCCATTTCCATCTATTGAAACCCGGAACCATTTAAAAACCCTTTTGTTAGTCACCATCCACCCCATTTTATTCTGGCTAACACATACTTTGTTCCTGACCCTCAGTAACTGAGTGGCCTGGGAAGTTTTCCGTGACCCCTGTGCTTGCAAAGGTCAGACCTCGGACCGCACAGATCGTCGCTGTGACTCTACCCTTCGCTCACCCTGAATTCTGTGTTCTGTCCCCAGACTGCCCGTCAGCACCTCTGACTGCCACCCTGCCTAGTGCTGAGGACATCAGGGGACATGCTAGCACCAGTGAACATGGAGACTGAATGGGAGGGGGGTTGGTCATGACCTTGGCCTTGACCTTGGCTTCTTACCTCTGAGACTACATTTTGGTGACTTTATCTTAATTTTTTCTGCTCTTTTTCCTTTTCTTTTGGGGAAAATGTTTTCTTCCGCATGTGAACACCAGATGGCAGCAGAGAGGGCAGAGGGCCCCCTTACCTGGGCTTAACTTGCTGCAGGCGGAGACACAGGTGCACCTGTGGGTCTCCGCCACCCGAGGCCCTTCTTGCCTGAGACGGGCCACGCGTGTCTCCGTCCACCTGGGCTGCCACGACAAAATACCATGGACTGGGGGGCTTGTAAACAACAGAAATGTGTTTTTCACAGTTCAGAAGGCTAGGAAGATGAAGGTACAGGCAGACTTGGTGTCTGGTGAGGGCCCATTTCCCGGTTCACAGGCCGAGTTTCTAGCCTTTCCTGCAAGTCTTTGTTCCGACGCCCCTCCGAGTCGGGCGTCGCTGGCGTGGCTGTCTGGTGGGCCAGTGCAACCGGGCAGGGACGTGCCCCGGTCTCCTCTCTGTGGGAGCAGGCGCCCTGCCCGGCATGTCCGCGTCGGTTAGGGACGCCCGGCCGGGGCTGGGGGCGCGGGGGCGGGACGTCCTCTCTGCCGTGGCCGAGTCTGGCTCCTGAGAGTCACACCCTTGTCTGTCCCTCCCGCGCCCCAGGCCAAGCCGCGCTCTTCCAAGGCTCCGGCGCGAAGAGCACCGACCCCCCCCTCCGCGGGCAGCTCTCCACGCCCACGGGGTCCCCGCATCTCACCGCCGTCCACCGGCCGCTGCCCCCCAGCCGCGTCATCGAGGAGCTGCACAGGGCGCTGGCCACCAAGCACCGCCAGGACAGGTGAGGCCCTGCCCCAAGGGGGCGCCGGCGCCTCCGGTCCCCAAGGGCCGACCTCAGGGCGTGGCACCCGCGCACCTGCCAGGGGAGGCGGCTTTCACACTCTGCCGTCTCCACCTTGACGTTCTTAATGGTCTTTGAATGAGGAACTCACATTTCACTCTGCACCAGGCTCTGCGGGTTACCCGGCCGGCCTCATTGCCCACGTTCCTGGGGTGCGGGGACCCTGGCCCCACAGCCCCTGCGTGAGCCCCTCGGGATCAGTGGGGAGGGAGGGTGCTTCCGGGAGAGGACGGGAGAGAAGGGCTGTTCTGCCGAGTCCCGGGACTCCGGGCGAGAGCGCCAGGCGGCCGTGCCTGCAGTGGCTCACTCGTCCTGGGTCACCCGGGGTCAGTTCTGTGACGGAACAGTGGGTTGCTGGCGGGAAAGTGGGCGACAGAAGGTGCGTGTGGACTGGTGCAGTGTCAGACACGGCGCCCGTCTCAGTTCCCTGGAGGCCGTGCTGGGAGCAGGGGCAGGTTTACCGCGGGTGGTGCTTCCAGCTCGTTCTAACAGCCACGTGCAGGCACCCCTGCCGGCTCGGCCGGGACAGAGCAGAGGAGCCTCCCCTCCTCCGGCACCTTTGTGACAACCGTCACGAGCCGCTGGGTCGGTGTTGCAGGGTTTCCGGGCGAGGGGTGGGTAGCGTCTGACCCGGACCATCTTTCCCATCCAGTTTCCAGGGCCGGGAAAGCAAAGCGTCCCCGAAGAAGCGGGCGGACGTCCGTCTGTCCCGAACGTCCAGCATGGAGCGGGGCCGGGAGCGGGAGGAGGCCTGGGGTGCCGATGGGGCCCCCGAGAGCAAGCGGACGGCCGCCAAGGAGTCCGAGGAGAACAAGGAGAACCTGATCGTGAATTCGGAGCTCAAGGATGACTTGCTCCTGTACCAGGACGAGGAGGCGCTGAACGACTCCATCATCTCTGGTGAGGAAGGGGCGGGCCCGCACCCGTGGGCTCCCTGCGGAGGGCTGGCTGGCGTCCCGGGGCTCCCAGCTGAGCCAGCGCTTCCGCCAGCAGCACGGAGAGGGACGGGGCGAGGGC